TCTAGACCTAAGGCAGACCCATTGGTTGGGTAAGCTTTATGAGTTTCTTCGGTTCATGTTCTGATTCGTGGTTCATCCTTGCTCCGTCGTCATATTAAGGTTCATCCTCTCTCTATCGTCGTCTTGAGGATCATCCTTGCTTCGATGTCATGTTGAGGTTCATTCTAGCGCCGTCGTCAAATATGTCCTCATTTCATTCCACATGAAAGTCCATAGCCGACCAACAACAATTAACAGACACGCCTACCTCTACATTACTCATTAGTTGGAAAAAAAATCCAAGGTTTATTAAAGCCCCTACAGAAAATGATTAGGAGCCAGAAACACACAAGTATAAAAATATCACACAAAAGATTGTGCTTGGGATCATTATTTTTAGCACCCGTAAAAAAACATGAAAAAGATATATATATATGTATATATATGTATATATATATGTATATATATGTATATATATATGTATATATACTGCAGAACAAATAATAAAAAAGACTAAAGTAGCTGTCTTAACATCCAGTCTAGCGCACAAGTCACCATAACATCCAGTCTAGCAAACAAGCTACCATAACGTCCAGTATACTAGGAAATTACAACAAATGATAATCATAATAAATCAAGTTGTAATAATCACAATCACAATCTCATTGGCCTAAAGTTAGAGTAGGTGACCTAACACAAACATCTAAAGTGTATGAAAGATATATTTTGTGCGTCAAATTACTAAGCTTTTAAGTTCAAATTGTAATGTTTTATCGTTGAATATTCAAATTTACCCAATAAGATGGTTCAATTTAAATTTTTTTGAGGTGATTTATTTTTTATAATTTTTACGTTGAATTTATTATGATATTACTTAAATGCATATATGTACTTCTAAGGTATATATATGTGTTTAATTTTTATAAAATACTCAAAATTATTTAGAAAAGTTATTTAGTATCTTATAAAACTAGTTATACATTAAAATTTCAATTTTCTATATTTTATGATTTTTATCAGTTAAAATTAATTTATTATTGTATTTTTTAAATAAAGTGTATATTTTGACCTAAATATGACTTTGTCTTGATTTTTGAGAATTTTGTGATTGTTTAAATTTTTATTTAATTTTAATATTTGCTTAAATTTTTTTAATGCATTTTCAATTCAAAAAGTATAATAAATCCAAATGACTTGCAAATATCATGAAAATTTACAAGGATGCTTCGATTTAAATTCTAAACATTATCTAAAATTTCCAACTGAATTTGAGCTCAAATAGATTTACTATGATATAATGAATTTACTTAATCACTTAACTATCAAAATTTTATTTTTATTTAATTTTTTAGATCAAAATGATCTAATTTGAGTTCGCTTTTTATCCTTTATGATGATGTTCAATTGGTGACAATTAGATAATGATTTGGAGTTGAAATCATGGGAACTTGTAAATTTTTAAACTACACATGATATTTCTGTAATTGTTAATAACAATTATTATGTTTACCATTAGATTTAGTTAAATTTTATTTGAGATCTAGTTATTTCAATTTCAATGGTCATTCGTAAATCTTCAAAGCATGTTCTACAATGAATCAAATATATTATTATAATTTTTATGAATTTTCGAATTTAAAATTATTTGTTCGATTCTCTTTTATTTAACTTATTAATGTTTGCTTAACTTTAATAAATGATATTTAAGATTACTATGTTAGCGCATTGGCATGGCGAAACTTATAGGTGATAGTCAATCACAAAGATAGCGTTGAGGGCTCTAAGAATGCAAAATAACGATCTGAACCAACTTGATTTAAAATCAAGCGATTCAAACCACGAGTGTGATTGGAGGGAAATCATCGATGATAAATCAAATGATTCCATACAAGTGCTCCTAAGGGTAAGGTTATTTAATTATTCTTGAGATTTCTAACCTACCGAACCCTACGTGACTCGAGGATGCAAAGAAAAGAGCGGGTCTTAGTGTGCTTGCATCCATTGACAAACATATATAAAGCCACAAAAAAATAACAGATATTTACCTTAGTCAGCATTGTAACCAACTTGATGGCATACCAGTTCCAACTTTAATGAGGGAGCTACAAGATGTTGAGACACAATGAATTCGATTTCACATGAAATTGAAGGCATGAAGGAATCAATCACGACACATTTTGATTCTCCAGAAGTAATATAGAAAGAGAAAATGTATAAGCAAAGTGAAATTGATGGCTTGTAATGATAAATTTATCTTACAATGTGTAATGTATTTCAAGGTCAACACATAAGGTGACATGCAAGGGTCATATAAATTTTCCTCAAAACTACATGATGCATGAATCAAGGAGATGACGGGTGCATTTGGGGCGGCGGTATGGTGCTTGCTGCACCGCAGTTTTACTTTTTTGTGAAATTGTATTTTTTCTGAGTTCTTAAGAAGCTGTAGTTGAAAGATGTGTTTTCCAAACAAACATGACTACTTGCGGTGGCTGTTAGAAAATTGCAGTCTGATTTTTTCAAAATTTTTTTATTATTTATTTTTTTGTAATAGTCATCACAACTTTATGAGCATCAACTTCACAACTACTTCTTCGAACAGCTGCAGCTACCCCAAATAGACCTGAAATCATCATGAAATTTGATATGTTTTGTTGTGATAGCACATGACACGTTGATCTATGTCACAATAAATAACGAAACTATTAAAATCATACATCACGAAAGTATATGCACACACACGTACATGTATATGCATACAATATACTTGTATATGTCTACACACACACACACACACACACACACACATATGTATATGTATGTATATATATGTATATGTATGTATATATATGTATATGTATGTATATATATGTATATGTATGTATGTATATGTATATGTATATGTATGTATGTATGTATGTATATATATGTGCGTGTGTAAACACACATAAAAATTGCAACATAAGGTGTTCAGAACACATGAAATGCTGAATTATTTCAATTTGATTCTGTGGTAGAAACTTCAAATAACTTGTTCTACTGAATAGGGATTTATACCTTTACGCCTATCTCAGCTCGTGTGGCTGTTGCATGGGCTGGGAAGGTGTGCTGGGAAGGATTAAATGAGGAGGAGCATCTAGAAGAATCACCAGAGAGAGAATGGGAGGCGACACATGGGATTCTACCGACGGGAATAGCATCGGATGCAGAGATTTCCAGCAAGAGATGTGGTGAAAGGTTGGAAGCGGCCCCAGATATAGTTAAGTAGAGAGGAAGCTGGACTTCAGTTTGGAGGCTTGCCGCTGGGAGGAGAAACAACAGGTTGTTGGGTCTAACGGCTGGGAGGTGCTCGGGTTTGCTGTTGTGTGGGTAGGACGGGCTTAGGGAAAAGCAAGCAGCCGTGGATGGTTGGGGTGGCTCACTGGTGCCCCGAGTGGGGCCCATAAAAAGTAATCCTAAAAAATGGAGGAAAGTTTAATTTTTATTTATATATATATATTTATAATGTACTAATTAATATAAACATATATTAATATTAATACATAAATGTGTATAAACTTATATTAAATTTATATATTATTTAATTGAGGATAAATATTTAATTCCTCGACTCATAGCAAACAAAGTTTGATTCAGACACGGACATGCTCATTGGAATTGTCTCGACGATCCAGGCACTCACACAAAATTCGTTTCGTGAAATGGTGCTTTGATGAAAATTTTTTATATTGGTGAAAATTCATGCAAAATGAGGCCTCACATGCATGAATCCAAATAAAAATTATGGCGAATGACCATTGCACCGGTCATTTGCCTCCCAACACAATGACAAACACTGTGTAACTTATTAAAATCCAAAATTGAGCACAATGATAGAGCGTGGTGACTACAATTGACTAAACCAATAGTCAAACATTATCATACAAATAATACACTGATCGAGCTAGATCAAAGGCTATCAAAATCGATGATGATCGTGATCGATGTGGGAATATCCTACAATACCCATGAGTGAGCCTAAGGATGATCTAACCCAAAAAATGATGTCAACACACATATACAGCTTTATTGAACTTAGAATCTAGGTGTTGGTCCCTACGCACTGAGCTCTTGGGCTGCATGTTTGATTTTTGTGTCTGTGTGTTTGATTTTGGTTCCTGGGTGTCGAACTCTCTTTGGTGGGTTGTATGATTGTATCTAGCGCTTGGGTGCCTAGACTGGGTGTTTCGGTGTTAAGCTCTCTTTCTTAGGTGCCTGATTATCATTTGGGTGTTAGCCTAGTGCCTAATGTTGAATCCGCTTAAAATTGCACCAAATACACTGGATATTTGCTTGAACGGCCGCACGGAGTTAATGGCTATATTTTCTCTTCCTTTAGCTTAAATCTCTTGCTTGCTTCTATATTTTGCAGTTAAATAATAATATTAGCGGAATTCATAGTCATTACAAACTGGTCTAAAATTGTCGATCGATCTATAGTGGGGCCACTCATATCATTTCACGGTTATAAGTAGAACTTTGTTATTATTTCTTTGAATTTTTGTATTGGCATTACAGATAGTTTCGGATATTGATGGATGGATGCCCTGTTGAATGAAATTGCATATCGACTCCCCATCATCAAGGCGGTTTAGGCTTTTATGGGGTCAAATTTATCAGTGGTTCGTTGCGAGTGATCGAGGCCATCATTGCCGACACTAGCGATTTCTATATCTTCACGGATCATGAGAGCGAACTTTCTCTCACAAATATCGGTGCCATTGAACATTTCATCACAATGATGGAAGCAATCCTTTTTTTTTTTGTTTCTCATTTATTCCTGTAGGTGTTGAGTTTAAGCAATCTTATGGTTGTGACAATGGTGATGGGGAGGAAGATGTGTTTTTTCTCTGTATGTTTCTCTCTTGGGTTTTCCTAGCGATTGAATTTAATATTTGAATTAAGATATCAATACTTGACATGGCTGAATTAAGAAATGTAATGTTCATGCAATACTAATATTAATCGTTTTGCATGTTCAGCCGTTGCTCTAGCTCTGTGCAAGTCTGATCCGGTTCTTAATGATGGCCATAATAGTAGTGGTTTGTCGAAGAATGCTGTGATAGAAGGAGAAAGCAAGAGGTTGATAGAGAAGTTTGTGAAACAGCATGAAGATGAAGAAGACTATACGAGCGACTGAAGTCCTCTTTTTTTTTTTTTTTTTTTTTTTTTTTTGGTTGAAGTTTTCGTCTCAGTCTACTGAGTGCTTCTCACTGGATGCCTATAAACCTTGGACCATGTGTCTTTTTTGGGAAAAATTATTACGTCTGGAGTCCAATAAAAATCACGCCACGTGGAGGTGATAGAAAAATAAAAAAAATTCGTTTTAGCACAAGGGAATATTCCTCCGTGTTATTTTGTGTTATTCAGATGTTATTGTGGTGATATTCATATATTATTGTGTTCTGAGAATATTCCTGGTGTTATAATAGCATAATAACACATCAATACTATCATAATAATATTTGAATAACGTGGAATAACACGGGAGGAATATTCTCTTTATTATCGGGCCGGATCATAAGAAACGAGTTTTTTTTTTCACTGTCAGCTCCATGTGGAGATATTCATTGGATTCCGGACATATCTCTATGTCCGGAGTCCGGTTGTAATAATTTTTCCTTTTTTGGTTTGTATTATTTCGTAGTTTTAGAGTTAATTTTCTGTGATATTTCTTAAAATTTTCGGTGATGTTTCTTAAAATTTTCCATTTTTAGAAACCTTTCTGGATTTCATTTTAAAATATATAATTCTTTCTTTATTTAATGTCTATATCTTAGTGATGTTTTTTATCATATTTTTTAATATTAATGTTTTTATGATTTGATGCCTAAAAGATATTTAAATTAAAATATTATTTATTGAATTGATAAAATATTATCAATGCTTGATTATTATATTATTTAAGTTATATTAAAATATTTTTTTGTACTATTTAAATTATTCTAAAATAAAATTTGAATAAAGTTTATATAAGTATTGATTTAAATTTTGCTAATTTTATTTTTATTTTGTTAATAAAAAAAAATATGTTTAGATAATACAATGGATTTAGTAAGTATTTTAAGTGCATTGCTTTCATGGACATGTTAGATGTTTTTTATATATACTGGATGGTACAAAACTTTAATTTGATCAAATTAGCTTTTCATGTTAATTAAATTTTATATGAATAAATTTGAATTTTTTAGATGTTTTATGTCTAGCATATAATTTATAAAAATATTATAAAGATATTTGATTATAATAACAACAAATAATAAGTTTATTTTTTATTGAAATTGAATATGTTATGATAATTTTTTTACACATAAATTTCTTTATAAAAAATTCAGAAGAAAAATTAGGAATTTTATTTTCAAGTGCTCTACATCTTTTCAATATCAATCCTTAGTTTAATTGAGCGGCTTCTCTTCAATTTCTATTTTCTTTCTTAGTTTAAATCTTTCATTTGCATACTTTTATTTGAAATCTCTATTTATGTGTTAAATACTATTTGTTCTTCTTTGATTAAGGTATTTATGTTGAAGTTTTTTCATCTATAAAGATAGTTTTTGTATTCAAATTTTGATTTAATGCAAATGAAAAAAACATTCAAATAAATTATATCCAAATTTTTAATCTTGTGAAAATCATGAAGATATATTCCATTGTATTCTATTTTTCAAGGCGGTTAATTTGATATATAAAATTATATATTAACTCCTAGAGATATGGAAATTATGAAATTATTTATTATTTTGATTAAAATTTTAAAATTTTTCGATTTAATTTTATTGTTAATCCTTTATTGCATTACTCGAAAATGGAATTCCAATTTTCCACTTAGCAGGGCATGTAATGGCAAATGAAAAATTGAATGGCTGAGATTTTAAGGTATTAATATGTTGAATATAAGATTGTCTGAGAAACACACACAAAAAATGGAACATTCTATTAGGAGGTGTTGATCTCACTTTTGTGAGGACTTGTTTTTACTACCTATATAAGCCCAAGCCCCCAACCATTTGGCTATGAGGGCATAAAGTTTTGATTAGGTTTTGAATTGGCAATTGGGGGTAAGACATTCCCTAGGCCATTTGGGTCAACTTGGAAACTATAGGGTCCACCATGATTACCAAATCCACCCAAAATCTAAAATCAAACCCAATTTTGCCAAATTCGTATTCCAAATTCCCTCATGACAATCCCTAAAAACTCACCAAACCATCAATTATCTTATGCAATATGTGTGTAAGTCGAATCAAAGTGAGAAAGGGGTTTAGCTAGGTTTGGACTCGGCGCAAACCAATAACAGCACCACAAGGCCACGACTATGCCCAATAATACCACTTCAGAACCACATGGTTTAGGATATGCCCAATAATACAAGGCCACGACTATGCCCAATAATACCACCCAAAATATTTTAAAAGTGATAATTAAAATTTGGTTTTGAAATATATAAATATGTAAACATTAAGTGTTAATTATGATAATACATAGGAATTAATTGGTGTGTATGTACATATAACCTTTTAGGTGGTTTCAGTGTTAATATCTACTCTTATGAGATTTGCATGGTATTTTTATAAATATCAAATTTTATCTGCTTTTTACATGTAAATATCAAATTTTATTTATTTATTTTTTTGTTGTACATGTGAATATCAAACTTTATTTTTTTATTTATTGATGTGAATATTAAAGTTCTCTATTTTTTTTGTCATACATGTAAATACCAAAGTTTAGGTGTATGTGAAAATATCAAAGTTCTAAGTGTGTTGTGTGTAAATTTCAAATCCTTAAGTGTGATATGTGTAAATATTAATGTTTTGAGTGACATGTAATTAAATGTTCAAGGTTTAAATGTTAGAATATCAATCATGAAAAATGGCTCACCAATGTATTGAATTTGTGGCTTGAAGGTGGGTTTAAATTGGGCGTCCAAAATGAGTTTAATCGGTCTTGAACTTTGGTTTATAGGAATACTTTTTGAAAGTTGATTTTAATTTTCATTTGATGGAGGAGGATGTGTAAGCAAGAATTTGGGCGTAGGTGTGAATTGTGATGTAAATGTGTGTGAGTGTTTGTGTGGGGTGTGAATTGAATTGTGATATCGTGAGAATTGTGGTGTTTCAAAGAACTAAACCCTAAATCAGAGGTCCTCTTAGGGCATCTAAATCCTTATGGAAAATCATCTTGAGCTTCAATGTATTGGTCTCAATCAACTCAACCAAGAGTTGATGATTCAAGACCATACACATGAGAGTCAAGAAGTGGTTTAAATTTTTAAGTGGTGTGGGTCCCAATACAAGTCCTCTAGGAGAGTCAGTAGGGAAGTTCGATGGCTAGATCCTAGGCTCTAGAGAGGGAAACAAACCTCACCAAGAAAATATGTCAACATTTTGATATGAAGTTGTTATTTTTTTTATTTTTATTATGTAATTTTAAATATTTAGATTTGTCGCGCCCCTTTTTCTTATAGCATTTGCATTTATTTTCTTTATTTTTGAATTTTGATATATTCTTTGTATCAACAACAAAATTTCTCTCTTGAGTTCTAACTTGAATGACAAGACTTTCTCCTCGAGCAATAGGTCCCTTCACAAGTCACTTCGTCTAGAGTAAATGCCTTTCACCCATAAAAGGTGGTATCTTTAAACGATTTATATGATGAAGGTAGTGGGCATAACAAGATCAATGTCAAATCTTATTAGTCATACATAACTTTCATTACTTTCAAATCATAGATGATTTCCTTAAAAACAGTTAAGTGATCTATAACAGATGAACTTTTATCATTCTATAAGAGTATAAACGTTGTTTTAAGTGCAACTTACTGTCAAACTTTTTTGTATACACAATTGCTTTAATTTGAGCCATAACACAACATAAATCTTCTCCTTCAAAAAGCTTGGTAGAATTTGTTTTGATAGATGACAATGAATTTGAGAAAGTGTCTTTCAATCTTTACATTATTTCTTATCCAACATCCATGATGAGGGCAGCTTTTAAATTCAAGTAGCGTATTGTCTAGATCCATTTGTGCAAAAATAAAATCTGGTGTTGCGATCTAAAAGAGAGATGTCATACTTTAATGTTGTCATTGTCGAAATCAAGCCTTGTTTTGATACCACTATGGCTGTCACAACGGCTCGTTGTTCGCGAACAACTCGTGTTTGGCTCGTTCGCTAAGTTAACGAGCCGAACAAAACAAATATTTGCTCGTTCGTGTTCGGCTCTTTTTGGCTCGAAATACTATTAATCAATTATATATATATTTGATGAGTAGTATTTTTTTAAAATTTAATTGACTACATAGCTAAAAAGATTTATAATCAATTAAAAGTATTAATGAAGAAAATAGAATAAAAATTATTAAATTAGATTCAAATGATGTTTTAAATCTTGTCCCAATCCTTAACATCTTATGACTACATGATTAGGGTTGTTAAAATGACTCTTTGTTCGTGAACGGCTCGTGTTCGGCTCGTTAAGCAAACAACCGAACATGAACACATTTTTTGAGCTCGAAATATAAAAGAACCGTACACGAGCTGGTCTGGGCTCGCTCGTGTTCGACTCGTTTACACCCCTAGATACCAACTTTATGTTAAATCAATGCAACAAATAATGAAATAAGCAAAAGAAAGAACACACAAATTTTAAGTGAAAAACCCAATATGGGAAAAATCACGGATAGAGAAGAAAAAATCAGTATATCAAATAAGAGATTACAAGTAAAAAGTGTTGCACAAAACAGAAGAGAGATGTTTATAGTTAAAAGAGAGTCAACAAAGCAATAACACATAGATTACAATCTAAAGACTATCATAAGCTCGATCTAACAATCAAAACCTTTAAGTTGCATGCTTACAATTTCATTCTGAAGTTACAATCCATATGATCATAATTTTCTTATGAGACAGAAGTGAGACCATACAAATGGGTCATAAATTTAGCACTTACACTATTGAATACAAATACAATGATTTAAGCTCGCCAAATTAGGGCATTTTCTCTGTTTTAAAAAGGAAATCAGTCTCATTATTTATTAATCCACATTAAAACAGAGCATTTAGGCTCCTCACACCATTACATAACAGATTCACCAGATTGGCTTAGCATACTACATGCTGAATCCCAAAAAAATGCAAAATACAAAAATGGAGGTGGCTTCACTCACACAAAACCATGGGAAGAAAGGGATTATAGAGAATCCTTTGAGGAAACAACGAAGGAGGGCTTAGCATCAAACTTCAGAGTAATGGGGAGGACCAACTCTAGCTTCGAGAGGTCGGTGGAGTGTTGCTGAATCTTTTCACGCTTCTATTAGTAGTTATACATGGCAGCCTCACAAGTATGGCTGTCCAAAAAGCTTGTTCGTGAACAGTTCGTGTTCGGCTTGTTAGGGAGTTCGTGTTCGATTTATTTGATAAGCAAACGAGAAAAACTCAAAAAAATTTTTTTTTCCTTTGATTTATAAACGAACCAAACACGAACAGTTATTTGTTCTATCGTGCTCGAATCGTTATTTTTCAAAATATAAAATAATTTAAAATAATTATATATAAAAAATTCATCATATTTTAAAAATAATTATATACTCTAAAAATTTATCATATTGAAATTAAATCGTATAAATTATAATCTGATCATCAGGTTCGCTTATATTAAATCATATAATTTCATATTTATCTTTCATATAAATTATAATCCGATCTTCAAGTTCGCTTATATTAAATCCTATAATTTCATATTTATCTTTATTCGCCTCATAGCTTAAATTTTTTTATATTTCTTTTATATTTATTTAGTTTTTTTAAGTGGAACTTAGTTTTTGAAGTTTTTGGGAGTGAAATCTCGCATATTGTCTTTTGATGTGAAATTTTTATGGATGAGACCTGATATCATGCATTTGTGTTGTGATTCATACAGGTTTAAGCATTAATTGCATATAAGTTTAAGTTTTTAAAAAATTTTAAACAATTCAAATAATTCGAACAATACAAACAAATTTGTAAAATTTCAAATAATTTAAATAATTTGTACATTCCAAACATATTTCAAACAAGTCACGAATAATTTCGAACACGAGTCTATTTCAAACCTATTTAATTTCAAATGAACCAAACACAAACAAGAGCTCTCGTTCGTGTTCAGTTTGTTTACACCCATACTCACAAGCACTTATATCTGTATTCAAGGAAAAATTATTCCATACGGATCAGGTACCACACGCAGCTTGCGTGCGGTGTCCGATCCGGACCGTAAATCACCTGATTTACGGTCCTGATGTATTTCGGTGGGCCCCACCGCCCCACCTAATTTTTTTTTTTTAAAAACGGAAATAATTATTCAAACAATTCAAATAATTCGTACATTTCAAACATATTTCAAACAAGTCAGGAATAATTTCGAACACGAGTCTATTTCAAACATATTTAATTTCAAATGAACCAAACACAAACACGAGCTCTCATTCGGTTCAGTTTGTTTACACCCATACTCACAAGCACTTCTCTGTATTCAAGACATTTACATTCATACCACAAAATTCTCATGAATTTACATATCTAACACCTAAAATTTCATATTAACATTTATAACGCTTTGGTACTATAAATCTTTACATAAAAGCGTGTATTTTACTTTTGAAAAGTTATTAAAAGTGATATTTTGATTATTAAAATATTTTGGGGGTTATACATATTATTTAGCAGTTTGGGGGATTTACGTACATAACACCTAATTCCTATATATTAACATATCTATCAGCTAAATTTTACATTTTACATTTATACCACTGAATCTTTCATATTATATAAAAAATATCATTATTTTCACTTTAATGCTTTGATAAAGTGGTATTTATGTAAAAATTAAAGTTCAGATATTAGACATGTAAATACATAAGAATTGAATAGTGTGTATGTAAATCTTCCATAAAGATGAGATTACATACATGCCTCCCATTTCTTATGCTATTTCATATATACCACCCAAAACTTAAATATTACACACATATCGCCCAATTCTCTCCAATTTTTCATACCTACCACTAAATCCCATATTTTCAAAAATCTAGCTTCAGGCCGAATCATTGCAGCTAACGACGAAGCTTACTCGATGGTTTTGGGTAAAAGCGTGGCCGTCGGAGGAGAAAAATGAGAGTTTCAGAGGTCTTTGTATGTTGTGATCCCGTTGTTGACTTCCTAATTGTAAAAGCGGGGCCGAAGGAGGAGAAAAATGAGAGTTTCAGAGCTTTTTTATCCCGTGATCCGTTATTGTCTTCCTTGTTGTAGAATTGCGGTTGAAGGAGGAGAAGGAAGAGTTTCATAAATCTTTGAATGTTGTAATGAAGGGAGTTTGAGAGGTCTTTGTACGCCACAATCTTGTTGTTGCCTTCCTATGGACTGCAGGAGGCGATGTAGGGGAGTTTCGAAGATCTTCATACAATGTGATCCCATGGTTGCCTTCTCAATTATTTGGGATGGCAAAGTTCAAGATATGAGAAACAAAGAAAAATTAGATGATCTGCATTTATGGTTGTGAATGAACCAATGCACTCGATGAATAACTCGGACTCGACTCGATTGAGACTTGATCATATTCGTTCAAATTAGTGAATAAACAAGCTTATTCAAGACATTTACATACATACCACAAAATTCTCATGAATTTACATATCTAACACCTAAAATTTCATATTAACATTTATAACACTTTGGTACTATAAATCTTTACATAAAAGCGTGTATTTTACTTTTGAAAAGTTATTAAAAGTGATATTTTGATTATTAAAATAATCTGGGGGTTATACATATTATTTAGCAGTTTGGGGGATTTACGTACATAACACCTAATTCCTATATATTAACATATCTATCAGCTAAATTTTACATTTTACATTTATACCACTGAATCTTTCATATTATATAAAAAATATCATTATTTTCACTTTAATGCTTTGATAAAGTGGTATTTATGTAAAAATTAAAGTTCAGATATTAGACATGTAAATACATAAGAATTGAATAGTGTGTATGTAAATCTTCCATAAAGATGAGATTACATACATGCCTCCCATTTCTTATGCTATTTCATATATACCACCCAAAACTTAAATATTACACACATATCGCCCAATTCTCTCCAATTTTTCATACCTACCACTAAATCCCATATTTTCAAAAATCTAGCTTCAGGCCAAATCATTGCAGCTAACGACGAAGCTTACTCGATGGTTTTGGGTAAAAGCGTGGCCGTCGGAGGAGAAAAATGAGAGTTTCAGAGGTCTTTGTATGTTGTGATCCCGTTGTTGACTTCCTAATTGTAAAAGCGGGGCCGAAGGAGGAGAAAAATGAGAGTTTCAGAGGTCTTTGTATGTTGTGATCCCGTTGTTGACTTCCTAATTGTAAAAGCGGGGCCGAAGGAGGAGAAAAATGAGAGTTTCAGAGGTCTTTGTATGTTGTGATCCCGTTGTTGACTTCCTAATTGTAAAAGCGGGGCCGAAGGAGGAGAAAAATGAGAGTTTCAGAGGTCTTTGTATGTTGTGATCCCGTTGTTGACTTCCTAATTGTAAAAGCGGGGCCGAAGGAGGAGAAAAATGAGAGTTTCAGAGGTCTTTGTATGTTGTGATCCCGTTGTTGACTTCCTAATTGTAAAAGCGGGGCCGAAGGAGGAGAAAAATGAGAGTTTCAGAGGTCTTTGTATGTTGTGATCCCGTTGTTGACTTCCTAATTGTAAAAGCGGGGCCGAAGGAGGAGAAAAATGAGAGTTTCAGAGGTCTTTGTATGTTGTGATCCCGTTGTTGACTTCCTAATTGTAAAAGCGGGGCCGAAGGAGAAGAAAAATGAGAATTTCAGAGCTTTTTTATCCCGTGATCCGTTATTGTCTTCCTTGTTGTAGAATTGCGGTTGAAGGAGGAGAAGGAAGAGTTTCATAAATCTTTGAATGTTGTAATGAAGGGAGTTTGAGAGGTCTTTGTACGCCACAATCTTGTTGTTGCCTTCCTATGGACTGCAGGAGGCGATGTAGGGGAGTTTCGAAGATCTTCATACAATGTGATCCCATGGTTGCCTTCTCAATTATTTGGGATGGCAAAGTTCAAGATATGAGAAACAGAGAAAAATTAGATGATCTGCATTTATGGTTGTGAATGCACCAATGCACTTGATGAACAACTCGGACTCGGCTCGATTGAGACATGATCATATTCATTGAAATTAGTGAATAGACAAGCTTGAGCAATTTTTAAAAACTCAAATTTTAAATTAACTAAACATGAAAATAATCAAACAAGTTCATTCATATTCACTAACAAACTCGTTAGCTGTTCAATGATATTTTAGATTAATTATTAGTTATATAAATATTTTATTATTAATTATTAATATGATGAAATTTTGAAAGCAAGCATTATGTTTTGTTCATTCTTTTTTATTATCATGATGAAATTTTGAAAGCAAGAGCAAGCATTATGTTTTGTTCATTCTTTTTTATTATGCTTAATCTGTCTCTCTTTGATTTTTCTCATTTATTTTTACAATTGATGCAAAATTTTAGAGTATGATTTACTTTATAATACATATTCATTTAGGTTTTTTTGCTCTTATTTCAATATTTTTTTCTCTCTTAGAATTCAATCTTGTGAGAATATATTTATTATGGATACTAGATGATATCATAATATGTTTTATTCAATTATTTATTTATTTAGATTTGTACAATTCTTTTTTATATATTTTAAATAAAATCTGGATACTTGTTTTAATTTTTAGCTCCTTTAAATTCTTGTTCATTTGTCATAACAAATAAATTACAAATCAAGTTTAAATATTAAAAAAATTAAACAAGTTAAGCTTGAACAATATGTGAAAGCTCGACACAATCTCAAGTCGAACATGAACAATTTATAATTATAGCATGTGAAGTTCAAACTATTATATATTCTGCTCAATTACAATGAACTTCGATATAATCGGCTCAATTACGATCCGATGCGTACTTATTGTTTAAGTTTAGGTATTAGATATAAAATAACATAAGATTGGGTGCAAATTTTATTGTTGGTTGTATAGTTTTAATACAATGTATCCATAGATTTATCCAAACTTAACAAAATGATAATTTAATCCATCAAACCATTATTTTTTTCATTTTTTATTATGATTTTAATTCAAATTTATTAAATGGAGGCCAAGAATTTTTTTCCGTCTTTACTAAGCAAAATACTGATTCTAGTCTATTGATAAATCCTATTTAGGTTAGATTTAGTTTGCAGCCAAAGACATCCTATATACGTAATTTACCCTGTTCATTTTCGTCGGCGTTCCGTACTCGTATTCCGCATCTCCGCGTGTCGCCTCGTCACATCCGTATCTTTTCGTTAAAGCGTAACTCGTCTCCCTCTTCATGTCTTTGATCAACTGCCGATGCATGGAAGCAGCGGTTAGGGTTCCGGCAATCTTCTCTTTCACCTCCTCCGCCAATAAAACCTTTATCTCATTTCCATCTCTCTCCTTCGTATCCCAATCATCTTCGAGAAGCATCGTCTCCTCGTCCAAAGTACTTTCTCTCCGCGCTAACTATCTCTTGAGCCATACACGCACCATGGCCGTCGGATCTCAGAATAACGCGGTCGTTGATACGCCCGCGGAGGTAATTTCCTCACAATCATTCCCATTCTGATCGTTAAATCGAATCTTGATGTATATGTTGGTTTTAGGGCTCGGAATCGTTGTTTAGGACGGCGCTTTTGAGTATGGAGAATGTTTATTTAGGCCGAAACCCTACCGCCAAAGCTGTTCTGGATCTCGTCCGCTCGGCTGGTGGAAATCAAATTTGCTATGATCATTTTGCTTATAGGACGTTTGGGGTAAGCTATTATCTGCGATTTTAACAAAAGAGAATTTCCTATAAATCGCATTGTAATTACAATATCTTCAATTCGTTGCAAACAGTAAAACAATCTGCTCCATTTTGTAAGCATGATCTTGAACAGGGGCGGAACCCTCACTTTTTTATGGGGGGCAAATTTATTATAAAAAAAAAGAACAAACAAATAAAATGAATAGTACAATTCAAAACATGATCTTGTATTTCATTTGTGGAATATGATACCGAATAAATGTAAAAGATAAAGTTCGGTGTTAGATATGTAAATACATAGGAATTGGGTGTTTTATATGTAAAAGTTTATTTTGCTTTGATGAGGATGGAATTATATTAGACTTACATGGCTAGAAAGGTTAATAAAATTGCTATGAGAAGAGGCCAATTATGACCTTATTGAAGAAGTTTAGTGTTTTTCTCTCATTTCTTCCATTTTATGTTGAAGCAAAGTGCTGAAACTATCAAAATCACCACATAAATGAGGACACGGTGAAGATAACTGACAATAAGATGAAATATGATCATAAGAAAAATACATATAACTTGCATAATCCAAATATAATCAAAATGATGGAATTTGTAAGATTCTTACAGCCTAATAGTATTTATTTGTAATGTTAAAGCCTCCTTTGTACCTCTTCAAGTCATCCAAAGGATCAATTCTTTTGGTTCGACTAGTTAGAACAGATTCAGAAGTTTTCACATTCTCCACCGAAATCCTCCCTAAACTCAAAAATAAGTATGACTTAAAAATTCTTATTTTTTTGTGGCCCTCTTCAAACTTCATCTTTTGAGTTCTTTCTCGGGCAAACAATATTATAAATTAAGATGCAAAATTAAAACTCGGAGTAGGAAATTTAGTAAAAGAAGGGGATAATATGTAACAAAGTTCGTGACATAAGTGTATGTTATGTTAAAATTCAACAATAATAAGATGAAAAACATATGTGCAGTAAGTCTTTATTATTATTATGTATACATGCATGTGTTAGTGATAATTTTTATGGAATTTAAAACCAAATATATATATATATATATATGTATATGTGTGTGTGTGTGTGTGTGTGTGTGTGTGTGTGTGTGTGTGTGTGTGTGTGTATGTATATATATGTATTTATGTATGTATGCATTGTATACCTATATTTTATTGCATGTTTGAGTAATTGAAATTAAATGTTTTATAAATAATAGCAATAATCAAGTTTCTGCTTTCTGAATGATAAAAGCAATGATAAAAAAACAGCAATGAAATGACAATCTAAGAAAAAAAATACAATCCGAATTTCAATTTTACACTAAAAGCTGTGTTTCAATGATAAATTATTATCTGAAACACAAAAGAAGGCATTCAAAATCTTAAGAAAATGAATGAAATTTCAAAAGAAAATAAATTATCAATCCCTGTTTTCAAATCAAGACATCTTTAACTGTTCAAAAAAAAAAAAAACGCAAATTCATTTCTTCACCTGATTCAAAATGAATTATTCTTCCCAACTCCTCATCTCCATAAGCCTCCACTCCTCTCAAAATCACCAATACATAAAAACAGAGCAAAAACACCATTACTTCTTTCAACCTCCCCTCCATTTTCTCAACCCCATTCCCAACATCTAACACTCTAAAAAATTACAGTCTCATCAACAATATTGAAGAAGAAGAAGATGAAGATGAAGAAAAATAAAGGCTCATGAGAAGAAGTTGCCCTCCCCTGGACCGAACATGACTCCGCCCATGATCTTGAAACTTTGGTTATACTGCTAGGATTTCTCTTGGTGGCCTGGAAGTATTTCTTGCTAAGAAAATTTGTAACATCTTGTATAAGATCACGTCAAACATTTATAGCAAATCTTAATGATAATATTAGGGTTTTATAGCAAACTCTAGACGTACTCCTAGAGTTGAAAAAAACCATGACATGAGGTCATGATTGATTGTCCTTGGTTATTAAAAAGCGAAATTGTTGTGCTTGTGTATTCTTTAGATTGTAATGTTTTTAAAATATTATCATTTGGCATAGATAAAAAATTTTATCTTAAATAGTCTTTTATTTTTGTTCTTGAAAGCATTCGTTAAACTTGTTCTTAATTTTTGGTTTTTTTTTTGACATTTTTGTTCGGTGCAAGTAAAGATAGATGGCTATGGGATCGATTCCATGGCTAAATTTTTCCTAGACTTTGGTTATACACGGAGGGAAGAGTTGAGGTTTCCTGCTAAGAAGTTGAGAGCCAGGTGGTTTGCACCTCCCAGTTACGATAATGGAATTTACTTTGGGGGGCCTTTGCCACGGATATTCATATCAGAGCTTCTTGTGGATGAGACGAGTCCTCAAAGTCAGGTAAGACTGACACGTATGATTTCACATTATGCAATTAGAATATGGAGCATAATTTTATATATTTCAGTGTCTTTTAAATATGAAACGATCGAATAGTTATGTAAGAAATTTTTTGAATTTAAAAGGGAACAGTTTTTAATTGGTGCTGAGAATTTCTAAAAGTAGTGAATAACGGCTGATATAAGTATTTTTTATCATAATATATGATTATCATCAGCTGCAAATCAGTAAATAATCTTCATACCTTGTCATGCTGTATGCTATTATGATTTCCATAGAGCCCGATAAAAGGGCATATCATATCATGAGATTGTCACTTATGTTTTGGTTTAGTGCCTAAGGGAGAAGTTGATATAGGCAGCTTTAGTTCTCCAATATGGAACCGCTATTCTCGAGCATGTAGCTTCTAGGTCACAATGGAGGCAAGCTAGCATTTCTTTAGGACACCCCTTAAGCACTTAATCAGACGGAATTTTACATGATTTTTTTTTTATTAATTTGGGTCTTTTCTAAATCCTCCTCATCATGATCAGTTTCATCCCGTTTATTATCCCTTTTGCCATCAGCTCAAGAGTACTAATTAATTTTTCTCAAGAAAATAATGTAAAGGAATCTATGTCCAGTGCCTTCTTGCAAGCTGATTTTATTGTATTTCACAAAATATATATTGAAAAGTGTTTAGCATGTAATCTTACTGGTACATTGCGTGCCATTTTTGCATCCCATGCAATTAAAATGTTATTTTTTAAAAAAAACAATGGTTAGGCTGCCTTCTTTGTGATTTGGGGTTTCGCAGTTGGAATCTCAGAAATAATCTCTTTACTTTGTGAAGTTAAGCTGTTTACCCTTAGTTCAGATCCTATACTAGAGTTATTCCCAGTACTTTTATTCCTTTGGTTCTATTAACAAAATTCTCTTTGATCAATCTATTTTTCTGCCTTTTTATTTTGATAATTTGACTTTGAATTGCTAATGCATGCAGGAAGTGATCAAGAAGTATGTAAAAAGTTTGGGAAATGCAAATAATCATGCAGCCCTTGCAAGTACATTGGGATGTTTAACTTGGGAAACACCCTCATATTCCGACTACCAAAAGCTAGCAAGGTCTTATTTTCATACGCATCTTGTGTTTCTATTAAATATAGTTCAAATTTTGTCTCATTTTACTTGCATATGTAAGAGATGCTCTTTTTCTCCGATCTCTCTTCCCTTGCAGCCCCTCCTGGATTTCAGCTTAGATGGCCTGCTTATTAATGAAAACCTACGGACCCTTAATGAAAATCTTTATTTACTTAAAAAAGTAACTAAACTTTTTAGTTTATTTTTCTTCAATCTCATTATCTCAGGGAAAGTGAGTATGCCGCATGGACCCTTGTAAATGGTTTTACAGTGAATCATGTAACCATTTCTGTTCATCGTCTGAAGTCAAATATCGGAAACATCAATAATCTGAATCACTTTATTGAAGATGAAGGATTTAAATTGAACTCTGAAGGGGGTATACTGAAAGGTTAGTTATTGGATATGTGGCTGGATGACTGAAAGAATCATTTAAAGTTGCTTTCTCTAAACTTTACATATTCATAGATTTAATAAGCATAGATAAAAAATTCGTGACTGAGAAGTGTGCACCCCAAATAGTTGGGATAAGGCTGTTACTTTTGTTTGTTTTGATGATCTGCATTTTACTTTTAAGTGTCTCCAAATTACCTCTACAGCACAGCTGTCCATCTTAAACAAAGAAATTGAAAAGAAAACACAAATAGTTCCATTAAAAGAAAAAGGTGTTTTATCCCTTTTCTCTTTTGCGAAAAGAAATATTCAATGCGATAGTGCGATGATGATGATGAAAGAATTAAAATTACAGATAGCAGTAACTTTTATGTATAAACCGCCTTTGGGTTGAATGCAGAATCTATGCAACCAAGGATAGTAGAAATATTTATGTATTCCAAATATCATATGAGATGCCTTGGATGCTTGCATACAAATTTAGTGAGTGAAATCTATATTCTGCTTATACGCCATGGAACTTTTGTTTGATATCCGTGCCTCCAATTTAATGGGACATTTATGTATTCCGAATATCATATGTTAACTTGGCTTGCATCTTTTGTTTGTCGTGTTTTACTCTTGTTTCGTTAAACATGAAAGTATGATTCTGCATTTGGTAATTAGTGTGGATTGAGATGATGAAATTTATGATAAAACGTGGAAGTTGTCTTTTTCTTTGAAATTAACTGTTACACTTCTTCTTTAAAATTAACTGTTACTTTATGATATTAGTAGTGGATTTCTCTATGCTGCATTATTTGTGGACGAAATGGTTAATCAAACTGCAGACTTATCTTCATTTTTATGGTTAGCGCTGAAATTTATTTGCTTTACTTGTGTTCATCGAGTATTCCAACATTGAGTTCTTTTATTGCTCTGATTAGTGAGTCCTGATGGCCTTCTGCTCCAGAGCTCAACCGTGGCTGATTCTAATGTTTTCAACTTCAGTGATGGTGTTAGTGAGACTGTTCCTTTCTCGTACATTGAATTTGCAGAACGACTTGTACTTCCTCAGTATGCAAAATTAACCAATGAAGAGGTCTGGCTTCTATTCAACTTTTTCCATTTAATGCTGAAATATATGCACTGCCGAACTCTTTCACTGCACTATTTGACTTTTTAAGGTTTAATTACTGATTTCCTGTGATATGCAGAAGCGTTTAATTTTTTTAAGGTTACGCTTATTCAATTGGATTTTGTTTTTATCTTTTACAAGTGTTATTTATTTTTATTTTTTTTTCTCCCTTTTCATTTACTTTCATCTGTATTTTGGTTCCTTCACATCTAGAGCTATTATGTAATCTCCAAGCAGATAGGATTTCAGTTTTTATCTTACAAGATTTTGTTTATTTTGCCACTCCAGAGTTTTTTGCCAATTATTTTAATGTCACTTTGAATAATGGGGCCAGTATACATGTTTCTTCGATATTTATTTTAATGGGTATGGTTTTTTATACTGAATTGATTGAGATTTTTCCAAATTTTGATTTGATCGAAAATCTGTTTGGATTAATTGAGATCACACCTTTCTGCTTTCTGTCAATGACTGATTTTACTCAATAGCCGACTTTTTGGTAAAGCAATGATTTTTCTTTCTCTAAGGGTTGGATATGGCTTGTATTATTTATTTATTCTTTTTTAGAAAATTCTCAGAATTGTTTTCTCAGCATAATTTCTACTATGTTTTTGCAAAAGCAATTTCTTAAGACATTCTAAGAAATGTCCAATTTTTTTTGTTGATCATACCATTGATCTTGAATTTATTATATAGAAAAATAGAAATATAAATTTGAATGTAATTTTTAGAATTAAATTTAACTAATTTAAATGGAAATTTATCTTCATAAATTTGTGTGATCAGATGATTGCAAGTTTTAGATATACATTTTATGAAGTTATAATTACACTGCCAATATTGAATGAATTTGAATGTTGGGCTATAAAAAGTATTAGTATTAAAGTTGGGTCTGGCAAAAATGAGAATGCTACGATGTATGTATTGTAAAACTAAAAAATAATAAATTAATTGATGATTATATTGAAGATAATGCAGCTAAAAGATACACTTCAATGGTTTGGAAATGTCCTAACAAATGATTGAAAATGCACTTGTTAGATGAGTTGATTAAATTAGTATCATAGGGCTTGGAAGGAAAAGAGATGATTTGCGAGGAACCCTGAACATTAATGAATGAAGATTGTGGATTAAATATGGTGATCCAAATCCGATGTAGCTGGGATAAGATTGATGATGATGATGGCTTTTTTCTTCCAAAAAACCATTATTTGTTTGTTCTATTTTCTCTATTACAAAAGCAAATATAATAAAATTAAAAAAAAACAAACTTAAGTTGTTTCCCATAATGAGTAATCTCAAAATATGCAGCATTCACTCTGGCCAATGATGTATCTATTTAGCATTTTGACGGAGTGTTGCCTGATTTAATCATTGGAGTCATATCTAATCATTATAACTATAATGTCTGCAGATCAAGGAATTCCACAGAAGAGATGGGTTTGAGGTTGGAAATGCGGATAAGATCTTTGAGAGCACTTCGAAGGATCAAATAGCCAGAAAAGTCGCATGATTGAAGAAATATCTCAACCTGATGCCGTTTGAGTCCCATGCCTGCTCCAGCAAGGGGAAACCTCTTTAGTAGGTTAAGAGCATCAGCCATTAAGCTTCTTCAAAGTCTATAAACTAGCGGATGTTCAACATTGAAATGTTCAATAATATCAATTGGATGCTAAATAATATTTGCTGTGGTTCTTCATGTGCTTAGTTGTATGCATCCCCAATAACTGACTTTTTGAGAGTAAATATCTTCAACTTAGATTCTCCTTGGGTTTTGGCTGGCGAGCATTTGTTAAGCTCAGTTGGCGGGAATAATTTTTTGTCCGGAATCTAGACATAACTCTACGTGCGGACTCCAGTAATATACTGCCATGCGTGCTATATCGGACCCGCCTAAAAAAATATTAGTGGAACTGCAGATGTTATTTTGAGGATTATTGGGAGATTATTGGGATATAACTCTCATAACGCCGCAATAACTCCCAATAACCCTTCAACAACCTCTATAGTTCCACTCCAATAAACCCTGCATTAACCTTCCAATAGCCCCTCCGATAACCTCTGTGGTTCCACTTCAATAACTCTCTCGTGGCCCCACTTCAATAACTCTCTGCATTAACTCTCACAATTACCCTCTAATAAACCCTCAATAACCCCCTAATAGTCACTGTGGTTTCACTTTAATAACATCCCAATAACTTCCGCGTGTTGCACACATGATGACATATTATTGGAGTTTGCATGTAGTGTTATGTCTAGAGTCTGGACAGAAAAATTTTCCCAGTTGGCGAGCTATCTAATCTTTTGGATTACACTAGCAAACTCATCTCGAACATACAACTTCATTCTAAAATATTTATTGCTTATAATACGTGAACGGGTTCTTAGAACCTAATCATAAGAAATAAGCCAAATTGATCCTTTTTTAAACTATTGTTAGATTGGTGCGGCTTAAGCAAAAATAGATAATATGCCTTTATTCAATGTAAACAGGGATTGGACATTGATTTTGTAGGACAAGCACGCTTAGAAAGTTCATTTTTTTGATGTTAACATTACAATCCTCTGATAACAATGCAAAAACCTGCATGGAAATACATTGTATTATGGCAATACTCACATAAGAAGATTTTGTCTAATCAAGCATTAAAGAGTGAGACAAAGTGTCATCCTATTGAGATTGCAAACTAATTACTAAAGTTTAATATGTTGGCCATCTAAATAGTTAGAAGCAAGCAATGAGCAAAAGTATTCTAATCTTTAAGTTATCTAGAAGAGTACAAACAAAGGTTAGTAATTTGCTGCAACAAAGCTAGTATGGTTAAAGAACTTGAGATTATATTTTACTTCTAGAAATTGAATGGCCAATTTTAAAATCAGGGACTTTTATTTTATTCTACCTAAGTCCAATTAAAGGTTACATTAACTTTCTCTAGAAATTATAGAGTTTCTATGCATGCTATGATTCCTACTTATCTCTTAATGATAGATGTAATGTAAAGAAAAACCATCGACACTCTTTAGATATTAACACATATTGCAAGGACTTTTTAGAGTTACCTCTACTATTTGATTCATTCTAATGATATTTTTTCCATGTTGAATCAATTCTCAACATATTTATTAAGTGAAAAAAAAAAACATGTCATATGTATTTAAGTGAAAAAAAAGATGATACCATATAAATAAGCATGATTATAGTAAAAAGATGGTAGAAAGAACAGAACAGTACAGGAGAAAGTAATTTTGTAGCCTTTTTTCTATTCATTTTTTTATTGAAAACCTTCTTGATATTCTCAAATGGTTTCCTAGGAAAAAGGTACTAAAATCTATCTATAGACCTGGTTAGAAGTTTCTCTATTCATTGTATAAACATTCTTAAATAATGTCGCATGATCTCATTTATATATAACATGTTTTAATAGATGAAATTAGGCTAAACAAGGGCTAAATGCCCAGTTGGCATGAGGAGTCAAATTCTAGTGCTTAAATGCAAATATGCTATAATTGAGCACCTCGACATAAGAATTGGGTGTCTATGAACTAATCCTTTGGATTAATAAGTCTAATCTAATGCTAAAGCACCTGAATTTGGAACTTGAGCACTAGATTTTCTATTTATTAGATTGGATCTGGTACCTAAGCGCTAGACACGATATCTTCAATACCTAGTCTAGTGCTTTGACACTGTGTGTGAGCCCAAGCTTTGTTTCAATCAAAACTGCACTAATGACACTTCTTAATCCTTAGACAAAAATGTGAATCAATTATGCATATTATTCTACCCTTTTTTAGTTTAAAAATTTTCCATAAAGTTCAAATTTAAATCACTATTGTAGTAAAACTCATTATATCAAATGCAATTCGACATGATTTTTTTTCTAAGATGGGTAATACACCTAAAATATATAGTATTTTTATATACATTTTTATACCTATTTTTGAGATATTGCACTTTAATGAAAGACATTTGTGTGTTTTTCTTTCAGGTACAATCAAATGGATGAAAAATACTAAAATGAATGAAAAATGATCAAATTTGGAGCAAAAATGTAAAAATGGTGCAAAAGTGTTTTGGCGCCTAAGCGCCGGTGAAACAAAGAAGTCCACTTAAGAATTGACGCATAAGCGTCAGAGGTTTCGCGCCTAAGCTCCAGAAGTAATTATGAGATGAATTATTTAATTTGAACAAATTTTTGAAGATGTATTTGAAGCAACCCTTGGTAAAAACGTGAAAAATAACTCATCGACATGAAAAATCATTCAATTGACTTTTGAGAAGACCACTTATAGAAGATTCATTGAATGGATACACCCTTTTGAAGAGACACCAAGGCACCCCTTAGATTTTTATAAGAAAAGACTTAGATTTTCTTAGATGGATGATGGCTGTAAATTTGATTGGTGGATGGCCTCCTCTCTTAAAAAATCTAAGTTGTCGTCGCCAGCCACTTTTCTTTTTATTTTAAGTGTTAGTTTGTATTGTGAGTGAATGAAGAGAATTCAAATGAACTTCAAGACATTTGGTGGAGAGGATTTGAGATAATGTTTATTTTTGTGACTACATTTGGTTTTAATTTAAATTTCTTGTTTGTGTGCATGAGTTATACTTTTAAACTCATGTGTGGTTGTGTTTTCTCCATGGATTCTGAGTAGTTTTCTTTATCTTTTTTCTTTAAAATGATAAGTGATTAAGTGTTGAAAGGAAGTTGTGTAAAGTATTAGGCTTTAATGTTGGAAGAAGTTATGATGATTTGAAACCTTGCACTTCATTTATTTCTTGATTTGACCAATTAAGATGTTAATACCTGTTGTGAGAACATGTAAGATCCGAGATGATATTGTCTCAGTCAACGAATGGTTAGAATTACATATTAATTTCATGGATGAGAATGTAGTTCATGGGGTAGAGTGCAAATAAATAGAGAAATAAACTTTTCAAGGGTGTAGAATTAGAGGACTTTAGAGTGACATGCTAAAACCCCCAATTTGATTTATAGTCTTAGGTTTTGATACGAAATGTTAGCCCCCAGGTGGAGAGAGAAGAGGGTACTCTAGAGTGAGAGCTAGTATCTTCCCTTCCTAGCCGGTCTTCAAGACTATTCAAACTATAGATTAACCAATGTTCTTTATAGCATCTCTAGTAAGGGTAAAGAATATTATTACTTCTATTTGGCACCACACATTTAGAATATTTCCATAATAGAATTTTTCTACTTATTACTGATTCATGATAAGAAAAAAAGATATTTTATTTATATCACCTTCATCTTGCAAGTATTTAGTGAAGTTAATTAGTTGCTTACTTTATTTTCATAAACAAAAAAAATTACAAAAAGAATCGAATTTGCATTCCTATTTTAGTATCTTAAGTTTAAGTAAGAATATTTTGCTAAGTAGATTTTTGTCATCTAAAATTTCTAAATTCCTAAAAAAAATATATCTATTATCTTTGTGGGTTCGATATTCGGGGCTTAATAAAAAAGTCATATATTACTTGATAACGATGCATATACTTGCATATACTTGCGTAGTTAAAATTAAAATTGTATTCTTATTTGTTTTATAGTGGAAAACTCAACTAGCTTTTGCTTTGGATCAAGTTTTTGACTTTGTTACAAATTAAGAATAACTATTAAGGAAAAATATATAATTGCATACAACGCATTTTAGATATATATAAAAAGTCGGAATTAAATTTTGGCATCGTCACCGGGAATAAAATCTTCAAATAGTGGTGTCAACTTCATAAATTCTTATATATAAAAAATATAAGGATCAGGTTTTTGGTGCCGTTGCCGTGGATAAAAAAACAAACAAATAAAGGAAAAATAACAAAAATTTTTAGAAGAAGTTTTTAGAAAGAAAAATTTCTATTTTCACAAAATCTTATTTAAACTTTAAGATTTATTGTAGGAATATTGTAGTGTTGTTTTTTATATAAAGTTCTTATTTGTGTGTTTTTATTTTGTTTTATTTTATTTTATGTGTGTTTTATTTTATTTTATGTGTTTTTTATTTTATGTGTTTTATAGTAATGTATGCGTAGTTCAGATTCCACAGGATTTGTGCCTTACAATTCTAAATTAGAAATAAATTATAAAAATTAAAAAATTAAAAATTACTGAAAAATTTCAAGAAATGAAAAATCAAAATAATCAAAATGTTGAAGAGTTTAGACCTTTAAGAAAGTATGCAAACCCTACATTGGATGAACTTCATTATAGTGTTCAAAAACACGCTGTAGTGACTAATTCATTTGAGCATAAACATACTATTATCCAAATGATATCAAATAATCAGTTTGGGGGAGCACCAACTATAGATCCAAATTTACATCTTGTCAATTTTCTAGAATTGTGTGCTACATTTAAATATGATGGTGCATCTGATGATGCTATAAGACTTAGATTATTTCATTTCTCACTGAGGGATAAGGCTAAGATATGGTTACATTCGTTACCACCTGGATCTATCAGAACTTGGAGTGATTTAGGACAGAAATTCCTTGCTAAATATTTTCCACCATAAAAAACTACGAAGCTAAGAAATAATGGTACATATTTTTGTCAGTTTGAAGGAGAATCTATTTATGAAACAAGATAACGATTTAAAGAACTCTTAAGAAAGTGTCAACACCATGTTATACCAGATTAGTTCATAATTCAAAATATTTATAATGGATTAGCTGAATTTCTTAGATCTATTATCGATACTGCTGGTGGTGGTTAAATGATGTCAAAACCATTTTAT